CAAGAGAACTTATTTGAATCTTAAACTTTTAAAAATTATTATTCTTTTTAAACAAAAACATCTCTGAAGCCCACATTTCCTTGCCCTTGATCTTCAGTAGCTGCAAAAATGGGCCTACAGATGGCAACAATGTGAGAGTGGTGCCAGACCGACTGGGTTTGTTCTGTTGTGTTGAAGTCACTATAAGTTGTAGCTAACGTGAAAGCACCTGACAACCACAAAGCTCCTTTAATTGAAGAGATTTGACACTTTTCGTGTATGTGTGAGACTCCATTATAATAGCGTTATAATATACTTTTCTCCTTATAATTTAATTGGTGTGTAATTTGTTTCTGACCTTAAACTCCAAATCACCACAGTTCTTAAATTCTTTTTTTTAAATTTACCTTTTTAAAATTAATTTTAACGAAATTTTACAGAGACTTAGGGTTTTCATTCATTCATTGTTGTACTTTTCTCTCTGTCCACCCCTCCCCTCCCAGTTTGCTCTTCTCTTTGAAAAGTAAAAGAAAACTTTTTTCATTGTTATGCAATCCCTCCCCCCAAGTCCACTCCACTATGCAGCCTTCATTCTGGACTCCTGTCATGATAATAATACCTAATCATATATCCCTTTTAAACAGTTCTCTCCCTCATCTGTTTCAGTACATTATACATTATTCATCCCATCTTTGTCAGTCTCCTCCGAACCCGATATCAGTCCTGTTTTACAACAGTGATTTGGTCCTTTCGTGAGTCAGATATTTCACTCAGCATAATGTCCTCCAGGGTGACCCATTTTGAATAATATTGAATGAGTTCCTTGTTTTTCAATGCAGCATAGTATTCTATTGTGTGAATATACCACAGCTTCTGTATCCATTCGTTTGTTGATGTGCATTTGGGTTGTTTCCAACCCCTTGCTATTGTGAACAAAGCTGTGATAAACATGGGTGTGCATATATCTGCTTGGGTGATGGTTATAGTTTCTTTAGGGTATATTCCCAGTAGTGCAATTGCTGGGTCACATGGTATTTCTATTTGCAACTTTTTGAGAAAGCATCATACTGCCTTTCATTGTGATTGTACCATTTTACCCTCCCACCAACAGTAAATAAGGGTTCCAGTTTCTCCACAACTTCTCCAGCATTTGTTGTTTGCTGCTCTGTTGAATTTTGCTATTCTTACTGGAGTGAGATGATATCTCATAGTTGTTTTGATTTACTTCTCTCTCAGAGCTAGGGATTTTGAATATTTCTTCATGTGCTTGTTGGCCATCTGAATGTCTTCTTTGGTGAAGTGTCTGTTCATATCCTGTGCCCATTTTTCAGTTGGGTTATTTACCTTTATCTTGTGATGCTTGAGTATTTTATAAATTCTAGATATAAGTCCCTCATCAGACATGACATTACCAAATATTATTTTTCCCAGTCTGTGGCTTCCCTTTTTACCCTGTTGGAGAAGTTTTTGGATGTGCATAGAGATTTGATTCTTAGAAGATCCCATTCATCTATTTTATCCTCTCCTGGTTGTAGATTTTTCAGGATGATTAGAAAACTGTTTATGTTGTGGATTATGACTTCTAGAGCTCTTCCAAGTTTTTCTTTAATGACGTTTATAATCCCTGGTTTTAGTCCTAAGTCCATGATCCATTTTGAATTGGTATTTTTCTACGGAGTGAGGTGTGGATCTTGCTTGAGTTTTCTACAGATAGTTTTCCAATTTTGCCAGCACCATTTGTTAAAAAGGCTGTCATTTCCCCACTTAACTGATCTCATCTCCTTGTCGAAAATCAGTTGACCATAGGTAGATGCCTGATTTCTTGATTCTCAGTTCTATTCCATTGATCTATGTGTCTGTCATTGTACCAGTACCATGCTGTCTTCACCACCACAGTCTTGTATCTATTATTTTATTGTTTCACTTTCTTCCATTTTTTGGGCTTCTTTGGGTTATATATCTGACTATAGCAATCAAATTCCTATCTTTCAATTTTCTCCTTTGATAGACTGGAAAACCCGATAATCATGATGTTTAAGAGGTAAAAGAAAAAAACAACAACAAACAACCCAACAACAACAACAAAAAAAAAACCCAAAAAACAAAAAAAAACCACACCATCCCCAAACCCAAATCCATTACTGTTGAGTCAATTCTGACAGAACAACATTATTGGACAAGAGAGGGTCTCCACAGCTACAAATCTTTACCAAATAAGACTGTACGTTTGTATCAGCAAAGCAGCTGGTTGGTTCACCACTGTGCCATCAGGATGCCTTCATTATTATGAAAACATCTGAAATAGTAAAGGAAGGACTGTTCTCTGAAAGTATGTCTTACTCTACTGGACACTGCTCTATCTATATCCATTTGGGCACTGGAAGCTTTTCTCCCCTTTGAATCTTAAAAATGCTGCAGCTAATTGATGAATGAATCATACCCAGATTAGTAGTATGTATTTCCTATTATATATTTTATTGCCATTTGAGTTTATCAGGACGCTGTGGTAGTCTAGTGGCAAAAAGTTGCACTGCAATCCTGAAGGCATGAGGTTTGAGGCCACCAGCCACTCCACAGGAGAAGGATGGGCAGGTCCTCCTGTGAGATTAACTGTCTCTGAAAACCCACCAGAGGGTCAGCTATGGGTTGGTTCCAGCTTGATGGTACACAGCAACAACAACAACAACAAACAGTTTGAGTTTATCAACAGTATTTGCTTTGATTTTATCATAATTTAGAACTAAAACCAATAATATAAACTAATTTTTAATAAATATTTTTTACTCAAAAGTGACCATGATTTTCTAATGTTTATTAATTATTCAGCAGGATCATGAATAAGTTCTTGAAGCTTGTTTCCATCTTAACATTTGTATGTTAAGTTCCTTTAAGTTCCTTTCTACTGTGCAAAGCCTGTAATAATGCTGATTTCTGTATTTACTTAAGTGAATTTTCTAAAGGATAGAAATGTCTGCTGGAAGAACCTATCACCACAACTTTTCAAACATTTGTACCTTTGTTGGTACAGCTTACTATTTCTACCAGCTTAGCAGTTTTCCCTTTGACTTAGTTTTGTTTTTAATCTCACTTTAGATTGTTCTCCTTTAATCCTTCCAGCAGTCTTTTTAGTTGAATTGTCATAAGTTTTTTAAAAATTGTATTTCTTGAAGATTGTTTAGGCCATCATATATTTTGAAATATGTACAGTTTCTTTTCTGAAATAGAAGCATCTGCCTTTAGCAGCCTCGCAGTGGAAAAATGAATGATTTTGGTGGTAAAGCTGAGGGTAGATATTTGGCACTTCTAGGTATTGGTGCCTTTCTCCCCCATCATTACCAATTTTATTTTGCTCTTATTTGGTTCAATTTCTGAGCTCCTGTCTGATAAGCTTCTTTTTTGTTGTTGTTTTGTTTTGTTAATTAGACTTCTTTTAAGATTTTTTTTTTTTTTTGTATTCTACTTAATAATAAATTAGAGCCAGTGAAGGCGTAATTTCTATCTAAGGGAAAAAACAGAGAGCAACTTAGAGTGTACCAGAGAAGCACTCCTGTACTTAATAGGAACAGGTTGTACTAAGTGAACCATTTAATCTGGTAATGCTGCCAATGAAACTGGTTTTGGCAATTGGTTTAGAATTAAACCGAAGGTGTTTTGTTTTTTAAATTTCATGGAGTCACTGAGCAATATCATATTTGAATGCCCTAGTGGTAGTCAGTGAACTAGAACCTTTAGGGTCATGATGTCATTTTGTCATGATGACAGAAACCAAAAGACAGGTGAGTCAGTGATAGGTGGAACTTGAGTTACTAAAACAAAAAATACCTGTTTCTTAGCACTTCACTCCCCCAAAGTCTAAAACTGAGCATGTATAGTTAACATCTTAAAGGCGTCTAACAGTGAAGTTGACAAATGGGAATATATTTGGTTGACTTGTCACAGAGTGTTATTGAAAGAAGTAGAAATTCCAGAGAAGTAAAGTTTAAATGAGTTGGTTTATAATAACAGTTAAAAAATTTAGCTTTTTATTTAAGAAAAAAAAAATAAGGCATTCTAAATCCTTTGGATATTATTTTTATCAGAAATAATTTTATTTCCTGATCTTACATATTTTTTATTTTGAAATGGTGTTGCTATAATAGTAAAGAATATTTTGAAAAGAAAAATTTGAAATCTCTTTATCCTTATCCAGTAAATATTGTTTGCATTCGTTATTTTCAAATTTCAGTCATTCTCTTAGTGAGTTCTTATATTTTAGTGAAGGAGCCCTGTGCTTCTTTGTGAGAAAAGATCTAGAGATAACGCTTCCATGAAGATTACAACCTAGAGCGCCCGTAGGGCAGTCCTCCCGTATCACCTGGGGTCTCTAAGTCAGAATTCAAACCACAGCAGAGGGCAACATGTGTCGGATATGATACATGTCTTACTCATGTGAAGTTACATGGAGTTTGAAGCTAGTGGCATTTAGATTGCTCTGTATTTTATAATCTAAGTAAGTAGCCCCTGTCTCTTTGAACTTAATGAGAGCTGTTTTATAAATGGAAAGTGAGAGACACAAGATCTCACTGGGAAGGCATACCAATAATGTTACTCGCTTTAGGATTTGTTTCCTCTCAGTCAACAGGATCTAAGTCTGTAGTTAAGAAAGAATGGCAAATGACTTTAAATTCAATTTATTTTATTAAAAAGTTGTTAAGTTATAAGGAATTCTGGTGGCACAAACACGTAAGCACTTTGCTGTTAATGTAAAGGTTAGTGATTCAAACTCAGCCAGCAACTTCAAGGGAGAAAGATGTGGCAATCTGTTTCAGTAAAGATAAAAGCTAAGGAAACCTCGTGGGGCAGCTCTGCCCTGTGATAAGGGTCTGTTTGAGTCAGAGTCAATTCACTGAGTCCCTAGAGCATCAACATTTTATGAAAGAAGAGATGACTCAAAATCAGTAATTTACAAGATTATTTCTTTTCCAAGACCCACTTTTATTTCAAGAGTTTAGTAACTTAGATTTGTATTCTTTGTTTTTAAGGGAAGGACCTATCATCTCGGAGTAAAACAGATCTTGATTGTATTTTTGGGAAAAGACAGAAGACGAAGACTCTTGAGGTATTGAACTACATACAATTGATATGTTTGGGTTTGTTTCTTAGCACTTTACAGTTGATGTATTTAACAAAATTTTATTTTCAAAATTTTCTTTTTGACTGTATAAAGGACTGTCTCTTAATAGTACAAGTCATGTTAACTCAAAAAACCTTTCAGAGGTTTAAAACAAAAGCCAAATATAATCCTTATTGGTGAATAATATATTTTATAAGCAATCTATAAAGAATGTTATTTGTTGTTTTTTGTTTGTTTTTGGGCATGAAAGCTGGATTGAAGGTAAAATACCTATTGCTGATGTAGTCTGAGGCAAAATATCTATCACTATGAGGAGAGGGAGGTTGCATGCACCAAATCTGCTTATTTTGCTCAGACTGCATTAAAAATTTGGAGTATGGATTGAGTAACAAGACTATCAGGTGCATATTCCAGTATCAATTCCTTCCTAAAAGCATTTTGTAGCTATTACATCAGTATGGAAAATCTGCCCTTCCTAACCACAAAATTGGGTTGTGTAATCTGATAAAGAGTTTTTGTGTAAAAAGAGAGTAGAAGAGGAGATTCTGAGATAACAGAATATTTAAAATTGGTATTGTTTAAGAAATTCTGCTCGCCATAATGGTAATCTGGTAATGTGGAATATCATACTTACATTTCTTTATTGTTTCCTTGCTAAGGCCCTTAGTGACCAGAACAGAAAAAATTTTTCTCCAAATTTGACAAATATTTTTTTTCTAGGAGTATATATTGTTACTTAATATTAAACATTTTTAAAGGCTTTTTCTATGAGAAATTTTCTTTGCCCTTTGGCACTAAAACTTTAGTTCTTTTACCATTTTTCTGCCCCTACAACCTTTAGCATAGTGAAGTTAGAGCAGTCAAAACTAAGCGCACTGACATGATGTGATTTCGACTCATGAGGACTTCCACCAGGTTCCTGAGGCCATAAATCTTGATGGGAGGAAACTGCTCATCTTGAGGAACAGCCTGTGGTGGATTTAGCATGCCAGCCTTTTGGTTAGCAGCTCAACACATGGCTCGCTACACCACCTGGGCTCCCTTAAAGATAATAGATGTTATGTACCGTTAAGTTGCCTGAGACTAATAGTGACACTATGTACAACACCTCTGAACCCTGCTCTATCTTGAGTCGACCTTATTGTCTTTGGCACACCTACCCCCATTTCCTAGTCGCAGAGTCAATCCATCTCATTGAAGGTCTTCCTCTCCTGCGCTGTCCCTCTACCCTACCAAGCATGATGTCCTTCTCCATCGACTGTTCCCTCCTGGCAACATGTCCAAAGTATGTCAGACAGAGCTTCAAAATCCTTGCCTCCAAGGAGAAGCCTGGTTTTACCCTCTCCAGGATGAACTTTTTGTTCTCCTTTCAGTACTCTTCTCCAGCACCAAAGCTCAAAGGCATCAGTTCTCCTTCTGTCATCCCTAGTCATTGTCCTGCTTTCTGATGCAATTCCATGGCATGCATCAGGCACACCTTAGTCTCCAGACTGACATCTTTGCTCTTCCATAAATGGTCATTTACAGAGGAAGGGGGCATAAAACTGGAAAATTGGATTCCAGTGGCTCACTTAGAACTGGTACCATCTAAGATCTATGATGAGTCATGTTAAATAAAGGCAGCCTGATCTATTTAGGAAGTATTATGGCATGGGGCTGCACTGAATGTTTCATTCATAAAAGAATGTTGGAAAGATCCCCAAGCCTTAGCTTCTAGTTTCCCACTTTACCATTCAGTGGTTTGTGTAACCCTGATTAAACCACTCTCCACTCTTAGCAACTTGGCACCTGATTCATCTTAATCTTTCACTCAAATTCTTCTCCTTTGATTATCCTTAGTAATTTCAACATGCTCGAGATCCCAGCTCCACGAAGTCTCTTGTGCTCTATCTCTTCTCTGCTCTAATAGTCCATTCCCACAGTTACACCTCGTGCCTTTGAACCAGCCCTTTCTTTCCTCCTGTACTCTTGACAAGTGCTACTTAACAGTCCCAGTTCTCTCTGCATCGGCCTTTCCAAATCATTACCTTCTTCGATTATATTCTCCCTACTGCTAAACCCTTCTAGCCTCAACTCAATCTTCTCTAGGACCCCCTCTTTGAAACTTTACAGTTAGTTGCTCAGGGAAGGAAATAATGTTTATAGACTTATGGTAAAATTTTTGAAAATGTATATATGTGGTTAGTGCAGGAAAAGAGGGGCTTAGAGGTTTCTAATCCTCTGGCAGACATCAACTTGAGGACTTATTTGTGTTAGATACTGTAAGGTTTTCCAATACTCTTCCAGGCTTCTTTACATTTTGGAGTTTGGTTGTTGTTATTGTGTGCCATCAAGTCAGAATCATTATAATCTTAGCATAAGTAGTTCTTGTATTTGATGTAATTCAGAGACCATTTTCTAGAATTTTCCCAGGGAAAATCTATTTTGGTTTAGTTAGCAAACTATTTTTCTTACATGGTTTATGTCCAGTTATATGTTTACCAGTCTTTCTAGTTTAATATTTTCACCTGATGTTGTATTTAAAACCCTAATGACTGGTGAGGCTGTTTTTTATTATTTTTGTTGCTCATCATTTGTAGGAGTGCTTCTCGACAACAGTTGCATCTAGTCACTTAAAATCTTTCTTAAAGCATTTTAATACAAGGATGCCATCCCAGACTAATTAAATTCACATCTTAAGATGGTTTCGACATCAGTATTTGAAAAAAGAAGCAAATTTTTAAAAAATAAAAACCCCCAAACCTACTCAGAAGATTGAGGTGATTGTACTGTGTGGAGAGGGGTAAGGACTGAGACCTGCTCATAGAAATCCTGATAAATAACTATGTTGGAATAGCATTAGTGTGAAGAAGTTATGCAACCAGTCTAAGGGCAGACAGTTTGAATTCATGAGCTTCTATACAGGAGAAAGGCAGACATTCTCTTACTGTGTAATTTATAGCCTCTGAAAACCTGCTGGAGGATCAGCTATGAGTTGGTTCTGACTTGATGGCAATCAGTTGTTGTTATGAATATAGCTTAGAGCAGTGCTTCTCAGACTTCTGTGAGTATAGCAGAAATCATCTGAAGACCTTGTGAAGATGCAGCTTCTGGTCAGTAAGGTGTGGTAGAGCCCAAGGTTCTGCATTTTAACAAACTCCCTGATGCTGCTGCTGGTCAATTCTCTGAGTTGTAAGAGCCTATGCAGTAGATTACATGAGGCTAAGGCCTCTGTGGTGCTGGAGAAGAGTGTTGAATATACCATGGACTGCTAGGAGAACAAACAGGTTTCTCTTGGAGAGGGTGAAGCCGGAATGCTCCATGGAGTCAAGGATTCTGAAGCTTCGTCTGACATACTTTGGGCATGTTGTAAGGTGGGACTGGTTCTTGGAGAGTGGTATCATGTTTGGGAGAGTGGAGGGGTGGCGCAGGAGAGGAAGACCCTCGGTGAGATGCATTGATTCTGTGAGTGGAGTGGTGGCAATGAGTGTGTTTGAGACGGCGAGGTTGGCACAGGATAGAGAAGCGTTTAGGGTTCTTTGTACATAGGTTCACTATGAGTTGCAAGCAACTTGATGGCACATAACAACAACAACAACAACAAATGCCTCTGTGTGTGTGTATATACACATAATGGAATTTATTTCAATCTATTTATAATTTAGATACCAAGTTTTTAAAAAAGTTCCATTTTTTTTGTAAAGCAGTCACATCTAAATATATATCTTATATGTAGATTTTCATATATTAAGTTCTCTTTTTATTGGAGTATACTTGTACCATCCTGAATAAACTGTTGCTAAGAAACCTTATTGAGTTAGTTACAACAGCCCTCATAGCCAAGGGCAAAAGGCCTTTGATCAGATTTGTTTGAAAATACAACCTCCTTTGGCTCCTCTTCTGCTGCCTTGACCTCCATAACAACATTGGCCCAAATGCAGTGTTGTATTTCACACTGGCAAAACAGAGGTGCTGTGGGAGGTGGGATACCTTAAAATCTCAGTAACGATGATAGGTTGAATGTTATAACAGGAATGCCTTTCTAAGTAATGTGCTTATACTAGCTTTGTCTTCTACGTCTAGATTTGAAAATTCTTAAGTACTGACCACATTTCTGGGTTTGGATGACTTTGTCTATCTCATTTTAAGTCAATCCTGTTAATTTCTATCATCTCTGACTATCATAACAACAGAAATTACAACTTTATTAAATATCTGTATGCCAAAAATTGTGTTAGGCACTTCTGTTATTATCTCACTTGATCCTCATAATGATCCTGGGAAGTAGGCATTATCTCCTTTTCAGCAGTGTGGGTATTGAGGCTCTCAGCAATTGAGAGATTAGTTACAAAGCTCCAAAGTGGTGAAGTCGGACTTAAATCTCTCCACAGTCAGTGTTTCCCCCCCCATATACCACAGTACTGCCAGTATTGATGAACTGTTTTAATTTTTGTTATTGTATCTGTATAAGTGATTTATTTATAATAGTTTCATTTGACTTGGTTAAAATCATTATTACTGTATTCTAACTTTGGGAAGATTATTAGCTGTTATCTCCATTTTTTTGGAAAAGAATAGTTTAAATTTAAAAATATCTTCTCTGGCTTTCAAAATTGAGCTCTTTGGGGTTTAGAAACATTTTTACCAAATGCATGGTGAACCATCTTTCAATTCAACATGCTTGAATGTATGGAGATATGTAAAATGAGGCTTCTCAAATGCATAGGGCATGTTATTAAATTTATGTAATTCCGGCTTCTGGTCTTTCTCTGGTATCTAATATATAACGAAAAAAATTTAAATATGAACCCTTTCAGTCTGTAACATGTACTCGTGCACTTCATAACATTTCAAGTAGTGGGAAAATTAAGAAATTGTCTGTGCCAGGATTCTGGAAAGAAAGGATTTATCTGATTCATTTTCACAGATATGGTGAAGAAAGAATGAATTTGACAGTAATAGCTAAGAATTTTTTCTATTTTAATGATATTATGATTACTGTTTAC